GACCTCGACCCTGATCTTCGCTGACTCTTCGACCTTGATCTTCAGTAGCTTCATCGACTCTGCCCTTCACTTTTGAAAGGATCACTTCGATCTTGGACGTGCCTTTATCGAAGTCGTATTCGTGACACGTGGCAGTCCGTAAAGGTCTTTTAATGCTAATACGGCTTGATCATGTCAAAAGTAATTTTTGACCATATAGTATGACAAGTAAAACGTAAAATGAGCTGTTAACTGAGTCTACATATAAAATCGAAAACCAGAATTCTTTTGTTCGAAAAAACAAAAAAAAAAATCTAAATATTGTCCAGAACGTTAGAGTAATTGGTCTAGTTACTCATGAATATTTGCAAAAATGCTGTTTCTCCATTTAATTATTTAATGAACGTGAGACTATGGTTTTAACACAAACCAGTTAAATCAGCGATGACTAGTGGGCGGTGCAGCTTTTGCGAGATCTATGTAAATCATATTTTAATTAAGACTAGTCCTATGTAAAGATTTGTTCCAGACACAATTAATGTTTATATTTTAAAGAAGTCATTAGATCTGGGCTCAATAAGGACAAGAATTCCTATAAGAATCTCTTTGGAAAATGAGAAGAAAAATCACAAAACCTGAGTACTTAAGTGCATAAAATAGAGTCCGGAACCAAAACGTAGTTCTTTTGGATTCAAACTACACAAATAGGTGTAAAAAAAAAAGTTACCATATTATATATAACGCCAGAAAACCTGGCGCTTTACATTAACGGTAACTGCACCGTTAATGTATAACGCCAGAAAATCTGGCGCTATACATTAACGGTGCAGTTATTGTTAATGTATAGCGCCAGGTTTTCTGGCGTTATATATAGTATGGTAACTTTTTTTTTTACACCTATTTGTGTAGTTTGAATCCAAAAGAACTACGTTTTGGTTCCGGACTCTATTTTATGCACTTAAGTACTCAGGTTTTGTGATTTTTCTTCTCATTTTCCAAAGAGATTCTTATAGGAATTCTTGTCCTTATTGAGCCCAGATCTAATGACTTCTTTAAAATATAAACATTAATTGTGTCTGGAACAAATCTTTACATAGGACTAGTCTTAATTAAAATATGATTTACATAGATCTCGCAANTAGGAGTATAAGCTCATTTAATGAATTAGAGTAAAGTGGTTTTATATGTATTCAGTACAAAAATACTTTTTCTCTACTTGGTCCGTTCAATATACACTGAGTATACTAGCACAAGAAGTTGGAGTAGACTTACTCTCATAATCAAGACAAATTATACAATAATCTTGTGCTACAATCATCAAGATATTTTGTCCGATAATATCTTCGATTGTGAACATAGTTTATTAATTATGAAAACCAACAATTTAATCTTCTGTGTATGAGCTAAGACTCCATACACTAAATTGTCTACTACATAATCAAAAGGACACACATGTTACAAATGATCTATTTAAAATAGTGCTTTATTGAATTGAATAAATTAAATAAACAATTGTTTCATAAAGAACAAAATATAATACTATGTCTAAACCGCATGGTTAATAGTATATCCCAACATAATTATGCTTCTATCAACATTAAAAGCTTAATTTTTCCTGTACAATTTAAGTTTTTTTTTCTCTCTTCGTTTTTATTTATAATATAAGGGGGAAGGGAAAGGTATGCAGAAGGGAAAACGAAATTGAAATTCGAAGTTCCACCTATATGGTTGAAGGTGGGTGAGCTCATTTCCCCAAGTGAGGCATACCTAATCCCCTTAAGTTGTTGATCTTTTACTTTTTAGTTCATTTCTTGTCTCTATTTCCCGTTGTCTTGAAGTTGATTTTTACTGTGAATTATGGAGATTATAAGAACAATTAGTATGATCTCAAACTTTGTTGATATTTTCAGGCATCATGGATTCAAATATACGCGCGGGGAAGATTATTTGATATTTCACATCTGAAACTTGTCATGCCAAAGCATTATTGACTTCAATTCCCCAATCTCGACTCCAGAGATCATGATATGCAGTTCATTTACTTGACAATAACCTGCCACTTTGTTGCTTCAATAGATGGAGATTTACTTGTGAATTTTCATACTCTTAGGGGTCGTTTGGTAGGATGCATTAGATAAAATGCATTAGCTTTGTGTATTAATAATATCATATTTGGTATACTTTTTGAACCTACGCATTAGTTATGCAAGCATTAGTTATGTACCCTATTTGGTATTATCTTATGCATAACTAACGCATAGAAAATCATGGTATTAACAATGGAATGGGTTTTAATGCATGCATTAGCTTAGTTAAAGATAAAATTGTCCTTCAAAATTTATGCTTGATTAAAATATGCTATTATATTAATGCAAGTTTAAAATAATCCAAATAGCGAGAAACAAAATTATATCCCTAGTAAATAAATAAATACTTAGCATATTTTTTTTTTATAAATATTCAGTTCTATATTACAATATAGGTAGACAAATCAAATAATTTTCTTAAAACTTTTTCATATAAAAACATTCCTAAATATATGTATCTTTTCAACAAATTGGCACGCCCAGTCGGACCAGTTCTGCCCTTCATTTGTTTTTCCTGCAAATTGAAAACCAGAAGTTTCAAAATCATCTGTTACGATGGTCAAGTACTTCAAGTCTTGTTTTCAAGTTTTGGCAAGCTAGACCTCGACAAACCTTGAAGTATGGGGTATTTGTGGGCATCGAAATTTTAATGGATCAAACCTATATGAAATTTGGGATAAATCCTAAATTCAAGACACTATTCTTGAAATTTTAGGAGTCTTTTCGGGTTGCTTGGAGGCTACTCTATCAAAATCCTAATTTCCTACTCTACCCTAACCCTAGGTCACTACTATAAAAGAGGTTACATATTCCCTTAAAAAAACATCTAAAAAATGGAGATCATCTCGAATATCCCATAGACTCACGAGATACTCACAAAGAGATCAAGACGTGGCCGGATAATTCTTGATAATCAAATACTTCAAGAAGATCCACACCATACTTTCATGGATATCATATACATCCAAAGCCTGCATCATCCTACATTCGAGAAACACGCTGCTCCAGCCTTCGAATCACGGAAATAATTGAGAGAGAAGAATCAAAGGAGAAATAAAATTATACTTATATTTGAATGATAAAATTACTTTATCTTTTGTGATTGCAGTTATTTTTCGTGTGTCGAAAATTTATTGCAGACAGAGTTCTCTTCAAGTAAGGAGTTTTGCTCCTTATCAAATATGCAATCTTTTCGTTCAAGGATTATCAGAAATAACTACTTGTACTTATCCCTTGAATTTGCATACCTTTTGTTAATATCCATAAATTTGGTTCATACATGTGTTTCTTTGTTAATCATAAAACCTATACCGCTTAGGTCAACAAATATGACAGATGTCTACATTGATAGGTAAATAGGAATTCAAATTTAAATCTGTTATGTTACAAGTTTCTTCTACACGGTGGAGGCTAAATGATATGTCTTCTAGCAGGATCTTTTCCTACAATTTCACTTCCCTTTTAAGTTGCTTTTTACTGTATGAAATTATTACAGCTCTACTAATTATACTCCAATTAATTTGACCTCGAACTTGGTTGACTATTCTCAGGCATCACGGATTTACATGTGTTGGGTGGTATACTTCCTGTCTGGATGCACGTTCTATCTTGTCCATACTAAAGCAGAATTTACCATCAATTCCCAATCATGAGATCTTGACATGTAGTTCATTTACTTGACAGTAGCCTCCCATTTTGTTGCTTTGAATGATGGAGATCAAGTTTCATGTCTGATTTTAAGAGTCCGAAACTTTTCTAATGTTTTTTTGACACGTTTTTATTACTAAAAAAAAAGTTACCTAAATATCTAATTCGCAATATCTAATTACCTTAACGGAAATTTTGCCGTTAAAGTAATTCGCAGTAGAGTACTGTGAATTAGTAAAAAAAAAAAAATTTAAATAATGCGCAGTAGAGTACTGCGAATTAAGACACTCCGATTTTTGGGCCCAGCAATTCGCAGTACTATACTGCGTATAAGCAATTCGCATTATAGTACTGCGAATTGCCCTTAATAAAATAAACCCTCCTTCTTCTTCCCCAACACAATTCGCTGCCTCCCCCCATTAAAAAACAAAGTT